TTGGATATGGTTTTGTAGCCCTGAACTTGCTCTATCTATAGCAAAAAACCGCGCCTCTGCATCATGTACTAATCGAAAGTTATTAAAAAAATGGCCACCCGCCTTTTAATTTGAATTGGATATTAGTTCGTGGAAATAAACGTCAATTACAATGAATCAGTTCAAACTAAGAGCTGGAAATATCGATCAGCAGTACCATATGACAATTCGGTGAACCTCTTGGTAAAAAAGTTAGTTTAATCCAGTCTAAGGAAGAAGAGATAACTTAAAAATAGGCCACCCGTTACAAAGACGATATTGACAAAAATTATTCATATTAAATAGCCTAATATCTTACTTGATGTTGACCAATAAAATTGTGCATAGCCTTTGTCGCTTGTTTGAATCATATCAATTATTGCTGAAAATTATTGTTTATACAGTTTTTGTTGTTCCGGTAATAAAATAAATGAAATGTGAAGACATGAATTTTTTAATTGAATCTGTTGTTTTGCTGCATTGATTCAATTTTAATATCCGATTGTTCTTATTGACGCGTTACATATTGTATTGATTGTGAAATAAACATTTGGATCGATTGACGTAAAACGTTTTTATCATGTGTCATTTTTGGTAACCAATTAGAAAATAAATGGAGAAAATATGAAACATAATGCGAATGAATGATACTTAGCAATTCCACGTAGTGATGATAATTAATAATTTAGGGTTAGTGACAATGATATTGACAAGGATCACTTATTAGTTTTATTGAATTGTTGATAAGTTCACAGGTTTAAGATCTCCAATATGAACCCGTGATTCAATATTTGTTTCTTCATCTATACAATATAAGTCGGATGATTGCAATATATAATAATTTTTGGAGTTAATGAAAATTTTGGCTCTAGTTTGCCTCTCATGCCAAATATTCTCATCCATACTCTATCACCTAGTTCATAATGCGGATCTTGTCTATGAATATCGTATCGGAGTTGTTGTTGTTGAATTATATTCTCTTTGACTGCTTTATGATATATATTTAGAGTTTTCTTCAATTATTCAAAATAGTCATTGGATTTATTAAATGTAAAATGGTGTGGTCGTGAATCAATTTGAAGACGAGGAGGTCGTCCATATAGGAGTTCATATGTAGAGAATTTAGTTGTTTTATGAACTCCTGAATTGTAAGCAAAGACAACCGCCTGAAGATATTCGTCCCAATTATTATCTTGTGTATTTTGAAATTTTGAGATTTGAGGAACGAATGTACTGTTAAAACGTTCGACAATACCTTTGGTTTGAGAATCGTGGGGTGTACTATAGATATGATTATATCCAATTAATTTTGAATATTGTGCATTAAGATATTTTGAAAATGAGGACCTTTGTCGCTTATAATAGCTGCTGGTATTCCGTATTTGCAGAAGTAATCATTAAAGAGTTCATAAGCGGTGGTTTTTTGCTTATGCTACGGCATGTACAGATTTTCACGAGGAGTCCGTTTAAAGGGACCGCAGAAGTCGATACCAACAAGCATAAATGGACTATCAGGTGGTGGAATGGGTTTAAGTTGGCCATGCTTTTTATGACGACTAACGTTATATTGCTGACATAATCAACAAGATTTTATGTGCATTTTAATATTTTTCATGTTTGGCCACCAATATTTGTGTTTGATTTTATTGTATATTCTATCTGTTGAGAAATGTCCTCCTGTCATTGGATCGTTATGAGTAGCATATAATAGTGGTTTTATCATTAAGTTCGGCAAATAAATAACATGGATTTTAGTTTTAGAATTACGTGAAGGTATCACAAGTTTACATAGAATATTATCTCTACGAACGAAGGAAGACGATTTAGGATTTTTATGAAGTTCTTCTATTATTTTTTGAATGTCGGGATCTTTATCTTGTTGCTCTCGGAGCATCATGACGTCAACATAATTTGAAGAAAAATTACGTGGGATACGTGTATAGTTTTGGAATTGTTTTCAGATTCAAAGACAGGATCATCCTGTGTATTACCGGTAGAAGTATTGCTTTTATGTTGTCTTGTATGATGTTTCGAGCTCTTAGCTTCATTGCAGCAACGATATTGGTATTGTTGGTGGGTAAGGAAGAGGAAGAGAACCAAGGATCCACAAGTCAAGGGACTGAGCGAGCGGAGACGAGCGTTACCTTGTGATTTACATACCAGAATAAAAAAATAAGAAAATAAATAAGCAAAGAAAGCTGACAGATGGGAGTTTCAAACTTCAGTGATAATTTAGTTTTGTTCCTCTAACACATTAATCGGCTATATGTCGCTGTTGTGCAAAGAAATCATGCACATATTGATATATCGAAAGAAGAGAAAGAAACTAAAATGATATAGGTCAATAATGCAGCAAATTATATCCTCTATTGCTGCGCCTGAATTGATCTTTCATTTAATTAATAACAACTCTGAAAAGCTATTTTATTATTAACGTTTATATTAAAAGTATTATGACAACAACACTTATTTTTGACATAAATCAATTACCAACTGATGTATTAACCTTTACTGATGCCAGATTTTATGATTTTGTCAAAGAAATATTAGGTGAAACAGAAGCTGACTTATTGAAAATGCAAGCAATTAATAACGTACCATCCTTTTTACTAACTGATGATATTTGTGGTGTATTAGAACTGGATATTGATTCACAAGAATTAGATGATTTAAGAAAAAAAATATCATTTCGTTTAAAAGATGGTACAGTTATTGTCAAAGCTGGTGTTAAAAGTGGTTTAGATATTTAAAAGAATTATTATTATCAAAAACAGAAGAAGAAAAAAGAAAAAAACAAAACTACAACAAACAACAATCAATTCAACATCATCAACAATAACAATAAACGCAATTATAACACCAATATTAATGACAAAAGGTGATCATAAAGAATTTATATCAAATTCAATAAAAAAATGGGTAACAGATAGTAAAGAAAATTTAAATTTTGATGAACTTGAATTAAAACCAGACATTGATTATATGTTAAATTTAACAGATAATAGTAATGTTATTGAAGGTTTAATATCATGTAAATGTGGTGTTGAAATAAAATTAATAAAAAAAAAGGTAAATTACAAATTAGTAATTTTTATAAACATCTAAAAAGTTTAACATGTTATATGATAAAAGAAAAAAAAAGGAAGATAATCAACAAAAACAATTATCAAATAATAATAATAATACAATATTACCAACAACAAAAAGAGGTTTGAAACGTAACTCGCTGGCTTTAACAACAACAAGTTCACAACAATCATCAACAAAAAGAAGGAGAAAATAACACTCTTAATCGAACCATTTTTCTGAATAATTTTAATCTTCAAGATTTTTTCGTTTTGTTTTATTTTTATATTCAGTTAGATTTACTTATACAATTTTTTTTATTTCAATTATATTTATGTATTTTTATTTTATTTTATATTCGTGAAACTATGCTATATTTTATTGTTGGTTTATTAATTATGATCAAAAATATATATTGAGAAAGATAAACTTAAAGGCTTTGCAAGATTGGAAACAAACGAGTCATAATAAAGGAACTATAAACAATGTTATTAGAGATGTTGTATTAATTGCTGATACATAGCAATAGGTTTTCATACAATAGCAACACTTCTACGAACTTCCAGACTTCAGGAGTCCAATGAAGTCCATGGAGTCCGAGGAAGTTCATGGAGCCCAGGAATCCGCTATTTCCCCCTGTAGTTTATATCTGCGTTTTAACTTTTCTAAAGCAGAATTAAAGCAAAAAAATAACTGATTTTTTTGTATTGTACTAAGTTTTTCGTATTGTTTGTATCGCCGTTTTCGTATAGTTAGTTTCCGATTTCTGGCAGTTCCTTTTTATCCAGATAGTTGCGCTGGTAAAGTAAATATCCTAGTACTTGATTAACAGACAGATTATTTGCTGCAGCAAAATCGTCGAGTTCGCTATTCAGATCTGACAGTCGCCGCCCTTTTTGTTTATTGCCTACTTCGCTGAAATCTTGGCTTGTACGTTTTAGTGGTTTTGGCCGCTGGTTTAACTCGCTTTTATCAAGTACAATTTTTCTGAATTCGTTTTCTCGCCGCACATTGTCCTTTTTACGCATTATATTGAGCTTTTCTCGTGATAGTATGCGTATGGATTAAAGTTGAAATAGTCTTATTCTTTATTTTCGTCATCTTCTTCTATATTGAACAGTGTGCATATTGTCGAAACCATTAAACTCCTATTTTTGTCACAGTCATTATGAAACATATCGTACAGCCGATGTAAACTAATCGTTCGAACCGTCTCTTTCTCTTTGTTATCAGTTTTTGTGTTGGTGTTGTTTGTATTTTTAGCCATTTGCAGTTGACAGCAAGTCCGAACAGCAAACCACGGCCCCAACGCCAGCGAGACTACAGTTAACAATCATTTCGCTAATTGACGTCAGAGAAACAACTCAACCGTTCCGTGGAAGATCTACCCACGCACTCTAGCCCAATAAATGCTGCTCGCAGACACTCCAGTACATCAGATCAGAGGGGAACCGACGCAAGGTCACAAGTCTGGCTATTCTGGCGCACTGGAACATCCTAGAGGACTCAGTTCCTATCCCGTAATGCATGGGACCACTAACATGTGGACGAATTTAGAACATCAGTGTTCCCCTGCGCTCTCAGTGAATCACCTTTTCGCATGATGGGAGACCAGGTACAACCACGAAACAAGCGACCGATAACTGTGGCAAAGGCTTTGCGGCTGCTCGAAACTACGTAAGGGCCACAGGAAGTCCTCACAATTGAAATCTCTGAGCTAAGCCTTCAGCTGTACCCTCAATCATCGGTCGTCATGTACAAATTCGAAAGAACCAGAGGCCAAATTCTGACACCATAACCGCCACCTAACCTGACCATACAGCTTACCCTAGTTTAAGGTCGTTCCGGACCCATAGTTTAATGTCATTGCGGACGGACAGCGGTCAAAAACCGTTCCGTAATTAATTATAGCACTAAGTTAAATCGAAAATTCTTTTCGCAAAAATAGTTGAAAGCTACATCATTCGATGCAGATTTTCATGCTGATTCCAACTATCATGTTAATTTCCAGTAAAAGTGTTTCTGGACCGAGAAAATTATAAAATAACTTTATAAAACTTTAAAAATGAAGGGTTTCTTGGAAACTGTATAACTCGCTTCGGAATCATTTGGGCATGCACTATAGTTGTATTGTGAGTAGAAGAATATTCTGTGGAAGTTTCGTCGAATTTGGATGATGGCTAACGATGGCGCGCTTATTTTACTGAAGAATAGCCATTTGAGTGACACATAGCGTGGAAAGAAAAAATTGGTTTACAGACACTTAAGTCCGCAAACAATGCATTTTATTCGGAATTGATAGCTAAAAGTTCATAGATTCCGAATACATACGTTTAAATAAATGTTAAATCTGTCAAATCTTAGAAAAATATTGTTTTTCCATAAAGGTCGTAGAGGTCGCAGATATACAAGCTCTTTTTTACTTGTGCATTTTTTACGAAATTTTTGCACTTGTCTGGAAACTTTTAACACCAATAAACAGCTCATTATTCAGAATACATGTTGCAATATTTAAATTTCAAAAAAGCACACTTTCAATTTTTCGCCTAATGTCCACATGATTGCCCACTGTGTGCCTCTCTAGGCGATTGTATTTGTCCTTGTGAATTTTTCTTTATAAAAAGCTCTATTATTCTATGAGAGGTAGCTACACTGATATTCTAGTTGCATGTCTATATTTTAGTGACATCTGGTAGTCTCACCATTTCTTTCTCTCCTATTTGACATCAATGCCCTGCTTGATTTTTTTGTTCTAATTGTCTCATCTGATCTTTTCGACCCTTTACATTATTCGTCAGGATAGTTTCGTACAAACTGTTATGAAATCAGCTTGAATTTCTTTAACAAAAAACGTATGACTTTAAAATGAATCCGAGATTTTTTGCTTTTGCTACCGTTTATTACTTGTGCATATCGGCCTGGATGGGTATTAGATTACTATACAAAGTTCCACATCGATACACTGTGTATTCTGAAATGATATGTTTGTTTCAAGCATTGAAAAAAATTGCATCATACAATTACCAATATCCTTTTATTCGACAAAATCAATTAATTCAACGTCTACCAGATTCTATTAGTAACATCGACAATCAAGATACAAAGGTTCAGTTAGAAGTAATCTATATGCTTTTATTTATCTGAATTTTATTTTACTCTACTTAGATCCTTGACGATTATGATTATCCATGTTATCACAGAACGGAAAAAGCGTACAATACAAACGCAGATTGGGCTGATTTTGCTGAACAATACTTAAAAATCTTTTTGGCACATTCAGCTTTTTTCTTTGCTGTCTGGTTAGCCATCTCGATTAGAAATCGTATGAGGAGACGACGTAGAAGGCACAGACAACGTCATTGACTGACTTCATTTGATTTTTTCTTTGGTAAATAAAATGTATGATGTTTCTTCTTAGTACTCTTTGAAGCGTTTTTCGTGGCATATTCTACAGATGATTGTCTGCATTGAAAGCCTTAAAAATTATGTTTGTAAAAGAATAAACTTCGTGATTTCGATAACAAATCTCCAAAAGGCTCAATGTATAGGTTTTCGCATGTACTAATCACTAGCAGGCAAAAACACCACCTGACGAGACCCTTAAGAAAGGTCAAAACCGGTCGTGAAAAGAGCAAATTTCGTTCCCGTGCAAGGGACCTCTCCGGATGATGGAAGCTTTGTTTGTACTCATATATCGTATATTAAAAGTTTTATAATCCGACCATCTTCAGTCCAAACTGACTCAGATTTTCAGGAGATACTCAAAACAAGTCACAGATACGAGATTCAGTTGAGAAATGGGATTGCAAAGCACCGTTATAAGGAAGGTTTTCCAGGAACCTCCTCCAAAACCTCAGCAGGTAAGTAAACTTTTAGATCATATCTTCGACTGAATCTCGTATCTTTAACTTGTTTTGAGTATCTCCTCAAAAACCTGAGTCAGTTTGGACTGAAAATGGTCGGATTATAAAACTTTTAATATACGACGGTCGAAGGCTAAAAATCGAATTTTCAAAATATTTTATTTTCTGATAGTATTTTCGTTTTCGCATTGAAACAAACGTTGCCACGATAATCAGCATGATCCATAACCTATGTGCCTTAGGTTTTGAACGTTCCCAGAC